AAGTATTGTTAACATTAACACGTGGAAACTATAGTGATGAGATTGATCAACTCAAAGCATTGAATGTAGACATGAAAACTAAGAAATTAGATTGGAGATATGCATATGCATTTCCTTGAAGTTTCTCACATCAATTCATATTCGTATCATGAGCTGTCCCCCCTTGGACACTCTGTACTTATCTTTATTTATTTTTACCGACTCTGTTTGACCTTTAAAAACAGATAGATGTTTCACATAATGCTTATATAATTAAAATTAGTTATATAAGCATTATATTTTTAAATAATAATATTACACATACAAAGTTAAAATTTCAATTGAGTTTTTACTGAAGTACAACATTGTAATAATATATTAACATAAAGTTTATAAACTCGTAACGTGAAACTTGTAAAATAAAAATTTTAAATGCATTGTACAATATAGTATAATAGCTACAACCTTACAATTGATGCCGTTGTTAATGCATTTGTATGGCGATAATTATTGAAAAGTAAACCAAGAAAGTCTTCATATTCGAAAGTAAACCAAGAAAGTCTTGGCCGGCAACACAAGTCTCTACTTGCACTTCACATATTGTAACATCTACAAATCAACAATCGTATCAGCGAGATTCCAACTTTATATTTGTAACATTATTACTTTTAAATATATTATTGAGACAATGGTTTATAAAAACTAATATATGGGACAGTCTTATCATATCATTACATGGATGTGGTGAGATTGTTAAATTAAAGTTAATTAGTCATATAAGTGTTAATTTTGTGTCCAATCACTTGTACAGACTATAGTAGTGTTTATTTAAAAAAAAAAAAAATGTAAATGAGTTTAATTTATTGTAACTTATATTTATCCCCTTTGAAAGAGTAAAAACTCATTCTAGAACACACACCATAGTTTAATTAAATCACGACAAATGTCACTTTTAGGGTGGATGGAATTAAAATTAATGAAAAATCAATGCATAAATTATATGATTTATTCAAAGATTGTGATATAAATTTGGTACATAATTGACTCAGTGATTGACTAAGATAATTAGTGTACTAGATCAATGGTTTCATAAATGGAATAGTCAAAAGGGAATATTTTTAGAAATAATTAAGATTATGAAATTAATTGACATCTCTTAGATCCAAATAGTAATCCCACACACGAAATGATATAATATTAATAAGTATTTTGACTTAAAATTTGTTGCTAATTAATAAGATAAAATCCCTTTTTAAATAATTATATTGATAATTAATAACAATAATAATAATAATAATAATAGTCAAAGTTTTTAGATTATACAATAAATACGCAAATAATTCCTATATAGTTTACAATTATTGTTTAACATTAACATTAAAAGATAAAAATTTAGTCAGAATCTTTTAAATAAAAATTTGTGTGTTTATTAGTAACTGAGATTTATGTTTAAAAAAAAGAAAATGATTCTATTACTTGGCATCAACAAACTCTACAAAATAAATTTTAGTCAAATTTTCTAACGTTGAAAAGTGGAAACTTTAAAATTTTTTCTTTTGACCATCTTGGGATTTATTATGGGTAAAAATACAGTGTTTCTGTGAATTTTCGAAAAAAAAAAAATGATAGATATGCCAGCATAATATGGTCAATAAAAAATAATGAAAAAATTGAATTAATATTGTAAAATTTGACCACTGTTATTATAGTGTACTTAAAAGGAGAGAGCGAACGCAAAGATTAAGACAAAACGAGCCAAAGAATTAAGAAGATAATTAAAAAATAATTAATTTATGTTTATTCTATGTTTTGTTCGTATATAATTAATACAAATAAAGAGTCAAAGGATTGTACGAACAGAATTATTTAATAATTAATTAAATGCAAAAAAATATGCTTTTATGTTTGGAAAAATATTGTTTTTTTTTTATAAAATAAATCTTAAAATTCACAAGAACTTTGGATGATATGTGTAAACCATTTATTAGCTTCGTACAAGTATATAACACTAACAAAAAAATAAATAAATAAAATTGAAAGCACATTTGATTTGTGATTCAAAAAAAAAAAAAAAAAATTTAAAAACTAAAATATGATTCAAATTTTTGAGTTGTATTTTAATATTTTTAATATTTTATATAATATACTTAAAAACAGTTTTCAGATTAAAAACTATTAAAAATTGTGAACAAAACTTTTAATCATTTTCTAATTTTATACTAATTTTGAAATTGTGTTCAAAAACTGTTTTTTTTTTTTTTAAAAACAATTCAACTTATTTCTACCAAAAACATTTTCATAAGATTTGTTGTGTCTTTTGTTTTAGAAAATAAAAACATGTATTTAAATTCTATATCAAACATACTCTATTGAAAATTATATATATATAATAACCAACCCGATAAAGTGGCCAGGTCTTGGGTTGACCAATTTAATCGATTTGATCGACGGGTCAAACCGGTGTCCAAAAGTTTGAAATATAACAAAAACACCCATAAAAATTACATATAAGTCCCTACAGCTTGAAATCTTGCAAAAACACCCTAAACACCATCGTCGACATCGACAAACCAAGGCAAATAAGGCTTGTTTCTGACGACAACAACACTCCCCATCACCAAGAAAAACACTCCCGTCAATCTCCTGACCAAAACCATATTACCCCTCCCCCAATCGACTCACCAATCGGTAGTGACAACGAGAATTTCGATCGATTCACTCATCAGAAATCACCTATGTCACCACCATTGCACTCACCAACTCTTCCTCTTAAAAAAACCCCAACATCTCAGCCTTCAATTTTTCGCAGATCATTGTTCCAATTTTTAAGGTTTTCGGTGAATAAAAAATTACTAACCCGACCCAATGAAGGCCTTGGGTCCCAGTTGAACCGACCGACAAATACAGGACCACTTAAAACTGAAGAATATCCATTGATGTAACAAAAGAAAAAGAAAAGGCAAAGGCAAAGGCAAAGAAAATACCCAATGGTGGGTTTTTTTATTTTTGCTTTTAGTCATTTTCAAAACCAAATATGCTCAACTAAATGAGAGTTTTTAACAGTTAATTAATTAATTAAGACACTCCTTTCTGTTAATTAGTTTTCACAATTTAATTAATTATCTTGCTTGACCATACTTTAATTATGTGAAATCTTTTCCAAAAGTATAATTAACTAAAATATTAAATTACACATTCATCAAGAATAACTTATTTTTGACCAAAAAGAATATGGCATTAAAAAAAAGTTGGTTCTTTGGGTTCTTTTTCTTTTTTTTTTAATTCTAGTTAAAAGAGTAACAAATAGTATTTATATATATTTTTAATCAATTAAAGGTGCTATCTATATTTCTTTATTTATTTTTTATTTTTTTCACCTTCTTGATCTTTTAACATACACATACTTCACGATGGACTTAAATATTATTTATTTTTGTACTTCAGTTTGCTAAAAAGAAATATTTTGCTTTTTAATTTAATGATTAAGAATTAAAGTTTCAATTAATCATCAATATATATGATCAATTTATTTTTTAAAATTAAGTTTCATTAAATTGAACGAAATATTTTTCATGTATAAATATAGCATGCCAAAATTAGATAAAAAAAATAACAAAAGTTTTTTTTTTTTTTTTGGGGGGGGGGGGGGGGGGGGTAATTGGTAATTTTATAAAAGATAAAGAATTACACCTAAATTAGAGGCATGTTTTGCTCATGGGTTGACATTAAAAAAGTTAAATTTGTCGAAAACCATTCTAATTAAATAAAAAAAAAATCAATGTTAAATAATTAAATGTGTAATAAATTGGGTTAATGTTTCAAAAATTAGATGTTTTTCATCATTAGATTAAGGTTTAGTGGTTTTACAACTAGATATTATTAATTAAGTCAATTAAGAATGGTGGATTTGTTCACTAATATCAAAGTATAATAAGTCAAAGTTGGTCTAAATCTGATCTCCAATAATGCCTTCTTAATTTTGTGAATACTTATTTAATTAGAGTCATTGATTTATAATTTGAACCAGAAATGGAAGCCTCTATCAACCTTTCAATCCTTTTTGTGGGAACAAACCTCATCGATGTGTTATAACTTCTACTTATTTATATGATTGTCCTCTTTTACAGATGTTTATATATATATATATATATATATATTTATTTATTTATTGAATCTTGATATATACGTTTATCTAAAATTCCATCTCTCAGTGCATTCATACTATCAAAAAAGTAGATTTGGATTTTTTTTTTAAAAGGTGGAAATATATACCCTTCTATACACTTGAGAATTTTCACACACATTAAAAAAAAAAAAATAATAATAATAATAATAGATACATAGATAATATAATTTTATTATGGAAACACAATACATCATTTTTGTAACAATTTTTTTTTCTTAAGCTCATTCTAAATACCTTCATGGACATTTGAATTTCCTTTTAAAATAGTTTGAGTAATGTACTTTATACTTCGAAAATAATTATATTTTATTATCCACGGAAAATTATAAGTAAATAATGCATCATATTAAGTATATAGAAACCTTAACAGTAAAATAGATGTATATAAATATTAAATACGATAACGTATCATAAAAAAAAAAAAAAAAAGTTATAAGTGAATAAACCTACCATATGCTATAAATACATGAATATTACTTGTATTTTTCATCAAAATTAGAGTAGTTAAGATAAAGTAATATTATTATTATTATTATTATTATTATTGTGGTCCACCAAATAGCAATGCCATCTTCACTAATTTTATGATGATGTCAGCATGCTGACATCATCATCGTGCCTTCATCTGATGCTGACACGAAGCATACCCAAAGGAGGCACCTTCGCTGTATCCCTCCAGGAAAGCGTCCATGAAGGAACAACTAAAAAGAAAAAAGAAAATTTAATACAAAGTTAAAACTAAATAAATAAATAATTATTTATTTTAATAATATGATTAATTAATTAATTATATATATATATATATATATATTTTACCTTACTTGCTAAGCTTAGCCTTCTTCTCTCTTGTGTGAACACTGTGAAGCTCTCTCTCTTTACTCTAAACTTCTGCAGCTTTTTTTAAGTAGCAATGAACTTCTCTCAAAACCCTAATCCTAACCCTAATTTCCCCTTCTTTCCTGATCATCACCATCATAACATGACGATGGTCGAGCCGGAGTTCGAGCTCTCGGATTATCTGATTCTCGACGATTATCATCACCACGATCATCATCATCTTGATGATCAAGATAATCAAGATTCTTACTCTTCTCAAAGCATGGTATCTTCAGAGTTCACCTCCCATGGATCCTCCAGTGGTGCAACCTCAAGAAATAGTCACATGCAAGTGCTTTTTTTTCCTTTTTATTTATTTTATTTTTTGGATTTTTAAGATAAAACCCTTTTGATATTATTAATTCTGATTATGTTTTTGTTAATTATGTGATTAAAGAAAATGCGAAAATGGGATGGAGATGAAGAACAAGAAGATTAATGAGGTGGGGAATCGGGTGGCTTTCAGGACGAAATCGGAGCTTGAAGTTATGGATGATGGGTTTAAATGGAGGAAATATGGGAAGAAGTCAGTGAAGAACAGCCCGAATCCGAGGTAATTAATTGATTAATTAATGATTGAGGGATTAATTAGATTATTAATTATTTTTAAGTTAATTGATTGATTAATGTGCTTTAATTAATTATATAAATTCAAGTTACATGGTGATGGATAGATTTATAGTGGAGATCTCATGATTAAAATGAGAGAATTATGGACCCCATTATTTTTTTGTTTGGTTATTGCTAGTTTGATTAATTAATTAGATAATTAGATTTGATTAAAATTAATTAATTAAATAATTTTATAATTATTACAAGTATTTGTTAGTGATCATCAACTTCAAAATGAACCAATGGCACCCATAGTTTAATCATCTAAAACGAATTATGTAAGTTAATCATAATAAACTATATAATTAAGCACTTCATATAATCATTTTTTTGTTGTTGGATTATTTAGATCATTAAGTTTAATTAAAATAAATCAATTAATATATTTAATATTTTGCATGTTAAAAATTAGTTCCACAAAAATCAGGATAAAATATCATATATCAAGGGACTCATATATATGTTATTTATAACTTAATTAAGATAAATTAAACAAAGATTAATTCTTTTGATTTGGAGTTCAATTTAACAGAGAGACAGATGAAAATAATTGAAAGAGACTGAACTCTCAAGACTGGAGGGAGACTAGAGAGTCAGCACCAACCACACACATATAAAAATAATTAAAAAAGAAAAAAAAAAAAAACAAATTGCAGCTTGCCCATATATTATTTTTAACATTTAAAAAAAGAATTAGCGAATAATTATTTAATTAAATAGCTAATAAAACTTTACTTCAATGTAAATATCAAAATATTAATTACCTTTAAGAAAATAATGTCTATGTTTAGGTGCTTCATGTTTTGATCATTTTGGTTTATTTCTTTTTTTTTTTTCTAGAAAATAATATATTACTTTAAACTAGTTTATTATATAATTAACTCAAGATTATGAGTCAAAGTTGTCCCTATTTGGTCTAGTGGATCTAATTAATGATAAATTGTAAATATTTTAATTTAAATTTCTTGTTCATATCCTCTTAGATTATATATGGAGTTATCAAACCTAGGTGCTCTTGGAAAGATGAATTAAAGAAAATAGGAAAATAAAAATAAATTAAAAATCTAGTGGGTAATTTTTGAACATTAAATATATACCAACTTGAGTTCCAAAATCAAAATTAATTTCTTGAATATTATATGAAGTAATTAACTTTATTTTCCCACAAAACATATAAAATGATTTGTAACAGTCTTGCCTACTATCAAGATATTGTGAATTTATCAGTGATGTTCTTGATTTGAACCTAGACTTCATCATTGATGAAAGAATCATGAGTATCAAAGTAACCCGATTAATACTCATAACTCGTTTCCAAGGATGAAATCTTCGGTTTTAATCAGGAGGAACACGCATAAATTTAAAATGTTTTGGCAGTAGACATACTCTTACATAGACCATATATAATTTGGAGAGGACAAAAACATTATATTTGAAATTGGAATCTTGATAATAAGATACATCAATTTTTGGGGTTCAAGCATATGGTTTTTATTTTTTTAATTTTTTCAAGTAATTTAATATCTTTATTGTAAGTGGTGTCTGTCGCAATGGGGACAATTGGGCTCTACTTCTTAATTGCTAGTTGTCTCATCTTGTAAAGCAAGGCGGCTATCATATAGGTGAAGAATATATACTAAAAAATCAGAATCACAATAAATAAATAAATTAATATTTATAGAATATATTTTATACTTTATAAATTAACATTGGGCATTTATCCCAATTCCATTCTTAGTGGGGTTGGGAAATCTTTGTTAATCATTTTTTTATTTTTTTTTGTATTTTCGTTATATGATCTAAAATATTTGGCTGAACTCATATGCCTTAATATCTTTATTTTGCATGATACAAAATGCATAGAAATATATATTAAATAATTAATTAATTACCCACATAACATATTGTAAAATAACATAGTACAAGGTTTTTTTTTTTTTTTTTTGTTGAGAAAATGGTAATATTTATCGAGTAAAGCGAATAACATAAAAATATTTTCAAACACATATCATCGATCCCTTCCCTCACCCAAAAATAAAATTCTCGTCTTTCTTCTTATCATTTTCTTCTATTCCTTGAGTGAAAATATGCATGATATTGATAAATTATATTGTTTGTTACTTATGATATTATGATCATTTTTTTTTTCAATTATTTTACTGTGTTAATTTAAAATTTAATTAATTGAATAAAAGATTTACACATAAAAACATTATCAAACACATATTGATCGATCGATCTCTCCTTACCTAGAAATGAAATTCTCGTCTTTTTCTTTCTTTTTCATTCTTTTCCGTCCTCTCGAGCAAACAAATTTGGTGATAAATATAAAATTATATATTATTTCTAATTAATATTATTTGAAAATGTAGGAACTATTACAAATGTTCAAGTGGAGGATGTACTGTGAAGAAAAGAGTAGAAAGGGATAGAGAGGATTCAAGCTATGTGATAACAACTTATGAAGGAGTTCATAATCATGAGAGCCCTTGTGTGTTTATTATAATCAAATCCTTCTCTCATATGCTCCCTGATAATACTTGGAGTTTGCAAGCTTCTTCTCCCCCTTTTCTTCTACTTCTTCGTAGCTATCTGTTTCTCTCCTCCTCGAGTTTCGATCTTTTTTTTTTTTTTTTTTTTAATCTATTATCATTGTAAGTTGTCAGACATGTTTTTTAGTATCAATAATACTAAACGTATAAACAAATTTATAAATATTTCTATACAAAAATGTGATATAAAATAAATAGAAGAGTAAATTTTTATTCTTTTATTTATTTGTTTATTATTTTAGATTTTCTTGTATGTCTAGTATTAGTCTTTCAGTAGTCACCAATAGGTATTATTAAAATTGGTGATTTTATGTAATACGTAAATCATTCGAATAACATTATCTAATTGATACCAAATGTATTGAGATCAGTTTAGATATTATTATAAATTAATTTAAGCTGGTTTAACCATTGCTATCAATAGATTATAATAATATTGTTCATCTTGTATAGAACAATTATTATGCATGAATTTTAGCCATGCAAATAAACTTCTTGTGATTAATTGGCACAAGAAATATATGGGCTTATTTTGAGCCCAACTTGGGTTTTTTGGGTTTGGGCGGGTCTCTTTCTTATCAATATCATTGTAGCTAGTTTTTTCAATATACATTTTTCAGTATTTACTGATAAGTATTATTAAAATTGATGATTATGTATAATATCGTAAAATGTTAAACATTGATTGGTCGATAAACATTACGATTGATATCACATATGAGGAAGTTTAGATTGTTATTACCCTTTAATTTAAGCCGATATAATAATATAGTTCATCTTTACAATAAAGTATTATTGCATGAAATTTTAGGCATGGATATATGCTAAAATTTAATTTAATTGGCCCAAGTGTTGCTCATGAAATTACAACGAAAATAGGTATTGACTCGAGTTTAGAGCCCAATTTGGTTTTGGGTTGGGCTCTTGGAGAAGGCCTCTAGTTGATGATCATTGCTCAAGGTTTCTAGTGGTGTAGTTGCTTGAAATATATAGTATATATAGTTATACATGTATTTTTTTCTTTCATAATCTAGAAATCTCTGGTTTAAACCTTATTTGATACCGAAGCCCCTTTTAAAATCGACAATCTTTTAAAAATGAAAAGTAATTTTATATACAAAAAATGATATTATATGTTATATATAATGAAATGGGCATCAGATCAAACAAAGGCTGAAGCCGATTCAAAGAAGTCGATAATTCAAATACATAAAATAATATGAATTAATTGTAATATATGGTAATTTTAAAAACTATTGGTAGCAATTGTATCAACATAATAAACTTAAAAAAAAAAAAACCCATAAAAAAGAATTCGAGGTTAAATAAATCTCGACACTTGGTGTATCAGTAGTAGAAAATATTTTTATTTGTTTTATAAATAGAATTGTTTTAACGTGTATTCTTAACCACAAATAGAGGTGGAACAAATGGATCGGGTTAGGCGGGTCAACCCTAACCTAGCCCGCAATGAAGAGGGTTCAACCCGGACGCCAATATGGCAGGCGGGTTGAACCCAACCCGCCAGCAACCCCGGGCGGGCTGGGGTGCTATATGGCAACCCACCAACCCGACGGGTTACTTTTTTTTTTGCAATAGCCAACCCGGAGGGTTGGCCCAAAAAAATTAAAAAAATTAATTATTTTTTTCAAGTTTCTCCCATTTTTTTAGTTCTTTTAATTAAACTATTATGATTGAACTCTTACAAATAATTTTACATAATAATATTAAACTATACTTCTAAATTATAAGTATTAAAATGTATAAAACTTCGTAATATTTGACAAATTGTTATTATTATTTTTTATGGTACGTAAAATATAAAAAAATTAAATACTGAAGTCTTATTCTCAAATTTCCATGTCTTGTATAAAATATAATTCATTCTTATGCTAAAGTTTCATCAATTGAATGAATAATTATCAATGAGGGAGGTCTTAGTGAACCACACCCAAATTAGTTGTTTTGTAAAATGTAATTCGTAAATTAATTGTCAATTATTGCACTCTTTTTTCTTTACTAAGTTTTTCTCCCATTGGGTTTTTCTTGGTGAGGTTTTTAACGAGGCAATAATTGTTATAATTTCTTATTTTATTTTTTGATAAATGAATAAGTCTAATTTTTCTTATATTACAATTTTATTGTATTAAAATTGAATTAATATTTGAAATTTTAACCAAAAAAAATAATTGAATTGAATTATTGATATTTGAAAAGTTAATTAAAAACAATTACATTTATAATTGATTCATTTATAAATTGTTAATTATTTGTTTGAAAAGTTAAATAAAAAAACAAAAAAAATAAAAAAATCGGGCTAACCACCCGGCGGGTTAAGGTTGGCAGGTCGGGCTGGGCCAGCCATTTTCCCCAAAATGGCAGGCCGAGTTGGCGGGCGGGTTAGGCCCAGCCCGCCAAAGTTCGTAACCCGCAACGGGCTGGGCTGGGCGGGTTACTTTTCCACCTTTAACTACAAACATACAAACAAAATAATAATATTGATATATTAATTTTTTTTTTTTTTATGGTAAGCCCTTTAATATTTGGAGTTAAGTATTTCCAAGGGTCTTGTACTCAAGTCAGAGATAATTATCGACCCAAGGGTATTGTTCTTAAGTTGTGGGAGAGACAATTATCAGATTTATTAAAAAAAAAAAAAAAAGGTTCTTTTTTGGTAAATAATTTATGTCAGAATAATTAGAATTATATCACACATGCAACTCGTACGAAAATTAACGGATATACATGCACCACATTTATATAATTTTTTTTTTTTTTTTATAATTAATTCACATTAAGAAGGCGTTTGATTGGGGGTTATCCCCGGACCCCTATTATTGAGGTAACATCATTTTATATTACTTAGATTACCACATTTGATCTTTAGGTAATATAAGATTCTAATAATCTTCCCAAACCAATAATAATTACCATTGGTTATATAGATGGTAATTTGAATATATTAATTTTCTTAGGTATTTTAAGATTATTTGGTAATCTTAATTTTGTTACAATTTTATCTTTAATTATTGAAATTTTTGGACAATAATACTCTTATTCTGAAATTAATTTACATGAACCTACAATTACAGTTTTAACCCTAGTTAATTAAGTTTTTGGACAGTAATGCCCTTGTATTTACAATAAATTGCAGGCCACCTAGGACCATCATCGCTTGCACCAACCATCATTGTCGGAATGGCGCACAACCAGTCAGGTCTAGTCGGTCGTACATTATTTTGACCACTACTGTTGCGGCCGACGACCGATAGTGACTTAGGTGGGTGGGGGTGATTTTGTTAGAAATTAAACTTTTATGTGATTGTGGTGTTTTAGCAAAATCTCAAATGTTGGGGGTTAAAAGAAACAATTTCAAAAATAATATTATATTAATATTTAAAAAGGATTTACAATTTAATAATCTATATAACATATTCACCAATTTATTACCCCCATCCAAACATATCAATATAATATACTAATTAATTTATTCCAATTTAATCAAACACATTTCTCTAAATATTCATAGTAATCTTTCCAACTTTCCATTAATATAACATTTTCAATAATATAACATTTTTTGAATCAAACAAACTTTAAATATTATTTGAAATAACTTAAAATAATTAAAAAAATAATACTAAATTATAACCCAATTTCATAAACCTCCTCTTACAATCTATATTTCCAAATAGATCCATCTGTTTGTTATAAATCATCTCTGCTTAATTACGAATCGACGAATTAGAAGTTTTCATGTGAGGATTATCCGAAAAAGTTAATAGAATTGGGCTGTAAACTAATCTTTATTCAAATAAAAAAAATGTATTGTAATTTGTAAATATAAATTAAGTGCCACTCCAACAAAGCGGCAAAAAGAGCCAAAAACTTCACGTGCCATTTTACGCGTGTAAACCACCTTCACTTGCAGGTTCTACGTTTCTTCTTCACGCATCCCATCGTCACTCCACTCAAAGTCTCAAACGAATCACAAAAATGGTATCAAAGTAGTAGAAAATATTTTGTATTTGTTTTATAAATAGAATTGTTTTAACGTGTATTCTTAACCACAAATAGAGGTGGAACAAATGGATCGGGTTAGGCGGGTCAACCCTAACCTAGCCCGCAATGAAGAGGGTTCAACCCGGACCGCCAATATGGCAGGCCGGGTTGAACCCAACCCGCCAGCAACCCCGGGCGGGCTGGGGTGCTATATGGCAACCCACCAAACCCGACGGGTACCTAATTGATACCACATGTATTGAGATCAGTTTAGATTATTATTATTATAAATTTAATTTAAGCTGGTTTAACCATTGCTATCAATATATTATAATAATATTGTTCATCTTGTATAGTACAATTATTATTGCATGAAATTTTAGCCATGCAAATAAACTTCTTGTTGAATTAATTGGCATCAAGAAATTATATGGGGCTTATGTTTGGAGCCCAACTTGGGTTTTTTGGATTTGGCCTTTGAGAGAAGGCGGGTCTCTTTCTTATCCAATTATCGTCGTAGCTAGTTTTTTCAATATACATTTTTCAGTATTTACTGATAAGTATTATTAAAATTGATGATTTATGTATAATACGTAAAATGTTAAACATTGATTGGTCGATAAACATTATCGGATTGATACCACATATGAGGAAGTTTAGATTGTTATTATACCCTTTAATTTAAGCCGATATAATAATATAGTTCATCTTTTTACAATAAAGTATTATTGCATGAAATTTTAGGCATGCATATATGCTAAAATTTAATTTAATTGAGCCCAAGTGTTGCTCATGAAATTACAACGAAAATAGGTATTGACTCGAGTTTAGAGCCCAATTTGGTTTTTTGGGTTGGGCTCTTGGAGAAGGCCTCTGTAGTTTGATGATCATTGCTCAAGGTTTCTAGTGTAGTGTGTAAAGTTTGCTTTAAATATATATTAGTATAATATAGTTTATACATGTATTTTTTCTTTTCATAATCTAGAAATCTTCTTTGGTTTAAAACCTTATTTTGATACCGAAGCCCCTTTTAAAATCGACAATCTTTTAAAAATGAAAAGTAATTTTACATACGAAAAAATGATATTATATGTTAATTATATCTATAATGAAATGGTAACAATTAATTAGTCTCGAAGTGTATGGGCACCAGACCAAACAAAGGCTGAAGCCGATTCAAAGAAGTCGATAATTCAAATACATAAATATAATATGAATTAATTGTAATATATGGTAATTTTAAAAACTATTGGTAGCAATTTGTATCAACATAATAAACTTAAAAAAAAAAAAACATAAAAATGAATTCGATGTTAAATAGACCATCGACACTTGGTTGTATTAATGTATTATAAAGGGAAATGCTAGAGATAAAAGACTTTTACAAAAAAATATTTGTACAAAGTGATGTAGCAGTTGTCACATCACTCTTTCTTTTTACAAATTAGTGCTGTGACAGCTACCACATCACTTTATACAAAGACTCTTTGTAAGAGTTTTTGTACATCTAGCATTTCTCGTATTAGAAAACATGTTTTTTATCTATTTATAAATAGAATTGTTTTAACGTGTACTCTTAACCACAAACATACAAACAAAATAATAATATTGATATATTAATTTTTTTTTTCTATGGTAGGCCCTTTAATCTTTGGAGTTAAGTATTCCTAAAGGTCTTCTACTCAAGTCGTGAGAGAGACAATTATCAGCCCAAGGGTCTTGTACTTAAGTTGTGGGAGAGACAATTATCGGATTTACCAAAAAAAGGTTTTTTCTTTTTTGGTAAATAAATTATGTCAAACTAATTAGAATTATATCAAACATATAGCTCGTATGAAAAATAAAGGGTACACATGCATATATATATAATTACTTCATATTAGGAAGGCTTTTGGTTGGGGGTTATCCCCCCATTATTGAGGTAATATCATTTTATATTACTTAGATTACCACATTTGATTGTTAAGTAATATAAGATTCTGATAATCTTCCCAAACCAATAATAATTATCGTTGGTTATATAGGTGGTAATCTGAATACATCAATTTTCTTATGTATTTTAAGATTACTTGGTAATCTTAATTTTGTTATAATTTTATCTTTAATTATTGAAATTTTTGGACAATAATACCTTTATTGTGAACCTGCCATTACAGTTTTATCCATAATTAATTAAGTTTTTAGACAATAATGCCTTTGTATTTACAACAAATTGTAGGTCACTTAGGACGACTGTCACCCACCAGCCATCATTGTCGGAATGGTGCACAACCGGTCAGGTTTGGGTGGTTGTACGTCGTTATGGCCACTACTGTTGCGGCCGACGGCTGATAGTAGCTTGGGTGGATGAGAGTGATTTTGTTAGAAATTAAATTTTTATGTGACTGTGGTGTTTTAGCAAAATCTCAAATGTTGGGGGTTAAAAGAAATGATTCCAAAAATAATATTATATTAATATTTAAAAAAGAGGGACAATTTAATAATTTATATAAAATATCCACCAATTTGTTACCCCCGCCCAAACATATCAATTTAATATACCCATCAATTTATTCCAACTTAATCAAATACATTTCTCTAAATATTCATAATAATCTTGTCAACTTTCCATTAACAACATTTTTTGAATCAAACAAACCTTAAGGGGGCGTTTGGTTCAGGAATATTAGAATACTGGGAATGTTAGATTACTGAGAAGATAGATAACTTTGGAAGATTACTGTGAATCTTTAAAAAAATGTGTTTGGTTAGTTGGTGAGTATGTTATATGAATATGTTTAGTTATGGGGAATAAATTGGTGGGTATGTTATTTAAATTACTAAATTGTCCCCCTTTTAAATATTAATATAAGATTATTTTTATTATTAATTTTTGAATAATTTCTTTTAACCCCCAATATTTCAGATTTAGCTAAAATACCCCCGCTTATATAAAACTTTAATTTATGACGAAATCACCCCCACCTCCTGCCGCCACCGCAAACCATCGCCGGAAATCTCCGAAAGCACCTGTGAGTACCTCACCGTGACGAAGAGGCTTCGATATGGCCCAGACCTGGCCGTTAATGGCCAGGGATCTGGCTGTTAATAGCCAGTTCCATTGATCTGGCCGGAATGGCCAGAATATATGGCCGTTTTCACCCATCAATATGGCCGAAAACGGCCATATCGAAGTCTCCGGAGCCTCCCACGGAATTTCGTTCCTTTTCAAAGACTCCGACGATTTTCCGGTGGCGGTTCGTGGTGGTTGGCCACTGTCAGCGGTGGTGGCTGGGTGGCAGTGGCGGTGGTGGCTGGGTGAGTGGTGGTTTGTAAATTATTTTAAATATAAGGGTATTATTGTCTAAAATTTTAATTAACAAGGGTAAAATTGAAATAGAATATTAATGTAAATTTGTTTTAAAGTAGGGGTATTATTGTCCAAAATTTTTATTAATAAGGGATAAAATTGTAACAAAAAATGATAACCCTGATAATCTCAGAATACCTAAGAAAATTGAGGTAATCAGATTACCTCTGATATACCAATAGTAACCACTATTGATATTTAAAGATTACCGGTATCTTATATTACTTGACAACTAAACATGATAATAAAGTAATATAAAATGACATAACCTCAATAATTCCACTTAACTCTCAACCAAACACCCCCTAAATGTTATTTGAAATAACTTAAAATAATAAAAAAATAAAAAGAATAATACTAAATTGTAACCTAATTTCATAAACTTTCCCCTATAATCTCACGTGAGAGTTCGAAAATACGTCTATAAATCAATTAGGAGTTTTCAATGTGAGACTGTCCGAAAAAGTTAATAGAATTGGGTTCAGTGAGATTGTCAGAAAAAGAATAATGAAATTGGGGTGTAATATAAACTTTATTCAAATAAAAAAAGAGTATTGTAAATATAAATTAAGTGCCACTCCAACAAAGCGGCAAAAAGAGCCGAAAACTTCACGTGCCATTTTGCGCGTGTAAACCACCTTCACTTGCAGGTTCTACTTTTCTTGTTCACGCATCCCATCGTCACTCCACTCAAAGTCTCAAACGAATCACAAAACAATAAAAAAAAAAAAATTTACTTTTAAAATACCCTTTAATTCGTTTCAGCATATTCAACTGAAAAAAAAAAAAAAAAAAAACCCTCAATTCCAAATTCATAAGAATTTTCCAATTCATAAAATTCTCAAATTTCAGCATCTTGTTCGTTCGAAACTCAACTGGCCAGCAAGTTTTCAGACACGCCCACTTGATTGTTTCAACAACCCAGATCGAGATTTGCTGTTAGATCTGCGAATTAGTGGTTTAATTGAACTGGGTATTTTTGATTGTGGCGAATTGGTGCTGATTATGTGAAGAAATGTTGGGGTAAATTGAGTTTAATATGGATTTTGAGGTATCCATTTGGAGAAAGTGTCGTTTTGGATTGAAGCTGAGTAGTTTGTTTAATACTTTAATGGGACTTGAAGATTTTGGTTTGTTGTTTTGAGGTGAGTGTCTCTTTTTTTTGGGGGGGTTAAAGTGTGAAAAAAAATGTTTTGGAGGGAACGCGAGAGGGAGAACAATAACAAAGAGCAGAACGGTGGGCCACCGTGTGGGCAAGTTCGAGTTCTTGTTGTTGGTGATTCAGGTAGTTAATTTTGAATCTGATTAGTTTTGAATCTGGTTCAGTTTTTTGTGTTGGTTTTTTTCCTATTTTATTATGCTTTTAACTGAATTTTAGTTGGGGGAACTTTAGAAACAGGTGCTTTGGACTGATTGCTTTGTTTTTGTTGATTTTGTTGCTGTTTTCTGGTTTTGGAATGCTTTTCTTTTGTGCGCTTATGAAAGTGTTTTTTTTTTTTTTTTTTTTTTTTGTTATGCTTTAAAGTATTGGAATAAGGTTAGTTGATGCTTATCGGGATCGCTTGAGTTGGAGATTTTGAAATGAGAAAAGAAGTGTAGTGTGTGAGATTGAAAAGGGTTCTTCGTGTTAAAGATTTATGAGAGTATAAGAGCTTATGATAGCTGTAAATGTTAAGTTCGCGGAGCTTGATAAATTAGAAGTAGATTACTAGTAGAAGAGAAGTGTGAATAGGCTTTGGATCTATCAACCTATTGAATGTCATACGGGTTAGGACTTGTGATACATTGCATAGGAAGTCATGGAGGAAAGGCAGATTCTTTGCATTTGAAAATGAATTAAATTCCTTTTCACGTAGAATGATATCGAGTTTTTCTGCTTGATTTATTCGTTTATTTCTTTTGAGGGTGAGGCTAGTAGCTATATTGTCAACTTATAGGAAATGTGGGTTTAATGGTTCTGATTTTTCACTTAAAAAGTTGGTCTACTAGTCTATTTGACATTCCAGAACACCTAATGTATTGTTTTGTTTACTGGTACTTGAAATGAGCAATCGTGAATCAGTTCAGAATTGTATGCCAAATGTGTGATGAAAGACACATACTTACCTTATCCAAAAAAAGTGATGAAAGACCACTGATTTGCTTTTATGATTATTCACTAGTCGTATTTTGAGGATATGAGTCGTCTTTCAGCCCACTTGTCTTGTTCATTTTATCTGTAAAATTTAAAATTTTGATGTTAGACTTCATTTTCAAATATTCATATTCTCGTAGGTGTGGGGAAAACTTCTCTTGTTCATCTGATTGTCAATGGTTCTTCTGTTGCTCGCCCTCCCCAAACAATTGGATGTACAGTTGGTGTGAAGGTAGGACACATAATTCAGCAATGTTCTGAACTCCAAAGTTATTGCTGGAGCTCAAATCTTCTTCTAGTGTTTATTTACTTATTATTTATTATTTTCTTTTATGCAGCATATTACTTATGGAAATTCTGGTAGCTCTTCAAATAGCATCAAAGGTGATTCTGAGAGAGATTTCTTTATCGAACTTTGGGATGTATCAGGACAAGAGAGATACAAAGATTGTCGGTCACTTTTCTACTCACAAATTAACGGTGAGTGCCAAGCAACTGTATGCCAAATTTTAAGAAGGGAAAAGGCTCTAGTTTGAAAATTAAAAGAATTTTACCAGTACATAACTTGTCCCTTAATACTTCTTAATTAGGAACCTATGACCTTGCGTGCCTTTAAGTCAATGAACCTTAGTTATTGCTCGCCATTATACTATCTTGTTAATCCTAAAGGTTGGGTTGAGTGGTTCAAGCCTGGAGGGCCACCTAATTGAGCTATTTTATTTTACAGGTTTCCAAATTACCAGTGTTACTGAGTTCTGGAAATAACCCTTGGTTTAGAACTTGGTGAAAATGTAAAAAAATTTGAGGGAGTTTTGGGTATAAAAAAGAAAAATTGCTTGCATGTTACTACTGTAGGTGTTTGATTGGCTGCGTGCTTGCGCTTCCCCATTCAGTGGTTGTTTTCAGTTGTGCAAAGACTTTATCATTGTGCTTCCTACTAGAAAAGAGAAAAAAAGCATGATATTAGAGTGATACGGCCTTAACTCTACGGAGTTTCCTAAAAGTGGGGCCGCAAGGATAGGGGTGCCACCACTCCTTTCCCACCTGTATTTTTGTTTTAGTAAATGAAAGTTTATCTTGTAGTGCAAAGGTTCTCATCTGAATTTTTTTTCCCCTTGAAGTTTGAGGACTTTTGTACACTCCTAGCTGAATAATACTTTTAAGTGTGATGGCCTGGACTAATTACTTAAATATGCTGTCACCTGTTGTGTTCACTGTCTTGGATCAGTCTTTGTTCAGCTTCACATGGTAGACACCTTCTTCTGCCAATTATATTGTAAATTTACAAGTTGTGTCTTCTCATTTTTTGCTGTATGGATTGATAATGTCTTTCATTTAATCTGCCCTGCTCTTAAAGCTACAAAGCAGTAGGAATAATGTAGAAAACTCTTCCTGCTTATTTGGAGCCAGATTAAATTTTGTTAACCATGGAGGAATTATTTTCCAGAAAGGAATTTTTGGGATAGAAGCAGCTTTGAACGTCAATTTATGTGCCATACTATATCAATACACTATTATTCCTATCGTAAAAAATTCACTCGTAATTCAACTGTATTTAGATACTCTTTCCTAATTCTTGTGTCACTTCAATAGTAATTAGTTTTTCTTTTACATATTTCATGCTGTTCTATCTATGAGTTTCTAGCAATGATTATAGATAAAATAACTTGTGTGCAGGTGTAATTTTTGTTCATGATCTCTCTCAGAGAAGAACAAAAACAAGCTTGCAGAAGTGGGCAGCTGAGATTGCTGCCACTGGGTCATTTTCAGCTCCTCTAGGTTCTGGAGGTCCTGGTGGTCTTCCTGTGCCATATATTGTTATTGGTAACAAAGCAGATGTAGCCGCAAAAGACGGTACGGGAGGAAGCAGTGGCAATCTTGTTGATTTAGCTCGTCATTGGGTTGAGAAGCAGGGTTTGCTCCCATCTAGTGAGGAACTTCCTCTAACCGAAAGTTTCCCTGGCAGTGGAAGCCTTATTGCGGTAAGCATGCACTTGCTTTGCTGTTGGCGAGTATAAGAAATATGTTTGTCTCCTCTTGGTTATTGGTATTGTCGCTCCAGAAACTTTGCGTGTGTTTGCTTGCCTCATGAATTTAGTCTGTGTATAGTTAGTCATATTGCAGTATAGTTTGGTTGCTGTAGATGGCATCTGAACAATATAGACTTTTAATTACGAAGCATAGGTACAATGCATGTTTGGGCTGCATTGGATTGAATTGTCTTTAATAGAATCGTAGACGAGTCAGCTTGAGTCAGCTTGGCTATGTGTTTCTGTTAAGATGGATCTTTCAGGAGCAGTAACAATTACATCTTTTGCATGCTTGACCATTTTGGGTACACTTTTGACTGGCAAATTGCAACTCAGTAGTACCAGAAATGCCAATTACTTTTTATATCAGGAATTATCAGGCTAATTTGTGAAGAATCTCTTAGTTGATGGAATTTGCTTGCTGTATGCACCCCTCCATCTCATCCTCTTCTATCACTATTCTGTGTTCGGTTGTCTGTGTGTTGCCTCCCTGTTTACTTTTTAGGATTGGGCATGTTCTGTTGACTGCAGGTTCTTTGGAGAGAGAAGAAGGGGAGACGGTGGGGGCTTTATGTATCATAAATTTTCTGCTAGACGGCATATAATTCCATGCCTTACTGATCCCAATATAATACCAACCCCAGACGTCCACTGTGGAAGGAGCATCAATTGTCTTATGTTAATCTGGTTCTTCCTATTGCATCTGATAATGACCATTTTCCTGTGGAGAGTTTTAAGTGGGACAATTATACCACATCATCCACATGCTTACCAGTAAAATCTCACTACATATGTTTTGGCTACGTATCACTACCCTGATTGATGGTTTTAAATTGAATGCATTTCTGATGGTATTTTAGTGGATAGATGTATGGATGATATGGTATGATGTTCTCAGCTTAGATCTTCTCTTTTTCTTTCTTACTTTTGACGAAGAAGGATATTAGCATGCAAATTCTTGAAATCATTTTTGTTCTGTTTCCGAGGGGTGTCTCCTCAAGATTAATTTTCTACATTGAATTACATTTTTTGAAGTTATTTCATTGCACAATACTGTTTATTTACCTAATGGTGGCCATCTTTCTGTTGGTGATTCCATTTCTATGGATTTCAGCATGCTCTCTTTTTATTTACGGAACTGGTGAAATAAAATCTGATTTGCTTAATTGGTCAAATTGTTATAGCTCATATAAGTTCTGGTGTTTATATATTGGATGTGAACCTATATAATGTTTTATTTGTTGCCATGTACAGGCTGCTAAAGGAGCAAGATACGACAAGGAAGCTTTTTTGAAATTTTTTCGCATGGTCTGTATTATTGTCTTTCTTTTGCTTAGTGTCTATGTGTTGGACATTGTGGGAATTTTTCTGAGAATCCCTGGTTTTGTTTCAGTTGATCAGGAGAAGATATTTTTCAGATGATTTACCAGCATCAAATCTGTGGTCTGTTTCCCCCGTTCATAGATCTGTTCAAAGATTAGATGAAAATTTCAGCGACGAGGAAAAGTCATACAACAGGAAAAGGTACCCACATATTATAACAATTTCCTTTCAATATTTTTTTGCATACAGCATTCTGAAGTTATGGTTCCTTCTTTCTGGGTTCTTATCCAGTTTTAGCAGTGACCCGTACAAGTACAACATGCTTCCTCCTCTTCCAGCGCAGCGCAATCTCATGCCACCTCCGACGCTTTATCCTCAGCAGCCAGTTTCCGTGCCTGAGAATTATAGCCTTCCAAGATTTTCCCTGAGTGGCTCCCCAGAAATCAGCAGCACTGGCCGATCAAAGCGCACGGATATATTGGTCCTAATCGTTTGCCTACAAAGAGTGAGATTTACGGTTCCCCAGAATCAGCAGCACGCCCGATCAAAGCGCATGGATATAAATTTCTAATTGTTTTGGCCTACAAAGAGTGAGATTTACCAGGAGGTACTTCATATTTTTGCTGTATGATTCTTTTTGCCTTCTTGTTTTGCTTGTAAAAACCGTTCGTCAATTCTTTTATATCTCTACAGCCTATGTATAATGTATAAATGATATCATTTGTCATTGGAAATTACGTTGATTCTTTTTAATTCTGTTTTCTAAGGCCTCAAACTGATGTATGCAAGTTTTCATGGATTTTTTTGTTCATGTGACAAGAAGATGAGGATTTTTTTTTTTCTTTCTTTATTTTGAAATTACTGCCATTGGTTTGAGAAAATGCAATATATCGATCAACAATGTCATGATAAATTGTGAAAATTTAATAATTATGGATATGTTTTATATTATTCTATTTTGTTTTGAAGATTGCAAAAATTGATTGTTAGCCAAAATATGAACTTGTTTTCAACGCTAGATTTTGGAGTTGTACTCTTCATTTTGGAATTCTTTAGTTTTGAAAATTCTCAGTGCAAATGTCTTTGAAGTTTTTGAAATATGACCAAAAGGTAGCAACTAATTTGGACATTGGTTTTGTTATGATTTTTGCTTTTGTTGAAGTTCGTTGACGTTTGATCTGTATATTAAAATTTTAAGACGTCTGTACTAAAGATTGACCAGAATTACCAGTGAACATAGCTTTTTAACATTGATGCATTTTTAGATGGATTGGGAAGAGGGGCCTTTTGTTAAAACCAGAAAACTGGGGGGATAAGGAGAATTGCAATTTTAAGGGTAAGTTGTCATAAAACTTTAAAAAATTATAAAATTTTGGAGGACCCTAAATCCATCCCGGGTTGTTCTTACCATATTCAAATGAGTTAAGTATGTAATAACTATTAATTATATTAAAAAAAATATTTTTTCTTTCATTTGAACATTAAGAAGGTTTCAACCCCAAAAAAAAAAAAAAAAAACAAATGCAAAGAGAAAATTTAGTTACACCAATGCTCTCCTTGATAATAAAGTTAATTACCAGAATCAACTCATTACTATAATTAGAGTTAATTAATTGTCACCTTGAGGTTTGGAACAAAAATTTTCCCTCTCTCAATTCTTCGAACTAACACCAACCCCCTCAAATAGTTGTTTGTCAATTAAACATAACAGTGCAAAAGGTTTAAAAAAAAATTTTTTTTTGAATAAACTGTTAGGTTTTGATTATTGATTGACCTAAACTTTCAACCATTTAGCAAAAATACCAGTGGTTTATTCAAAACATGCCACAGAGTGGCCCATATAATACATCTCATCATGAAGCTTCACTTTCACCTTCTCAGCAGTCTTGTGACTCTTCTGCAGCAGATTTTGCAGATTCTTCCACTGCCATTTTGCTTTTCTTGTACTCTTCTTAGCTGCTTCTTTCACTTTCTCTCCCAGCTCCAGCATCAGCATTTGCTGATTGCCCCCTCTGAAACTGCCCCACACAAAAGTTATATTATAGCCTCACAAATATTATAGGATTCATAATTATGGCTAGTTCAGTTGGTTGAATTCTTGAAATAGTAAATCAAATCCAACTAGGGTTTGGTATTATTTTCCTCATAAAAAGTGCCCACAAGAAAAAAAAAAAAAAAAAAAAAAAAAAAAAAAAAACAGAAATAATTTGATGCTAGCCACAAGAAATATTACTAACTAATCCGATTGGTCAGATTTTCTAAAATTTTATCAAAGGTCTTGGAATAAATCCAACTGATCAGAACATTATTTGAGAAGATTTGGTTTATTATTTGGTCATTTGGTTGGATTTTGTGAAATTGTACAAGAGATTTTAGAATCAAATCTAACTCACATCAAAGTCTGAAGAGTTTTCGGTTTATATTATAAATTTAAAAAAAAAAATAAAAAATTCATAAATCATACAAACATAAAAAGATATATTGAGGAGAGAGTGAAATGTACATGCAAAATTTTAATCTTACTCTACATTTGGAGGAAAAAACTGTATTTGCATGGCATGAATAATAGCTTTAGCTTTTCCCCAAGAATTCTCGTGGTATTTTCTCAAATTAGAGATTGAATCTGTTAGCGTCTTTGCAAGAGACAGTTTCTCTTCTTGTATTGTAGAAGTGTCTCTCGCTCCTCCTTGTCCATCGCCGGCGACGAAGCGATTTTGATGAGAAAGAATGAGGAACCAGAGAAGAGAAAATATTAGGGTTCTTCTGAATTTGTCGTTCATGGCGCCCATTTGCAAGAGAAGAAGAGTAGTGGTTTTGGATCATAGAAACATTTGGTTTTGTTTTTGTGAGGTTAGTGGAAGTTTGTACACGTTTTTGCGAAGAAAGGCTAATTTAAGGTTGTCATATCCGTTTGAAGAGGGTGAGATTATCACTTTATCCATATGTTATTCAATCACGAAACCTTAAATATGTATTAATTAGACAGATATTCTAATAAATGGTTTTGGCTATTATACAAAGCTGTACGAATACATATTATAAATTTTACATCATGAGTTTACAAAATTAAGGTTGATGTATTGATACAACATTGTTCTGTAATAAAATCCCTAATAAAGTGGTAATTCGTCCTACAAAAAACTTTCAAGTTGAATATCAAACAGCATAAGTTGTGGGTTGCAATACAAGTTTCATGGTCTACTTATGATCCGGTACTGTTTTCTTACTGTCCAAAAGTTATTGGGTCGATTAATTTACCCAAGATAGGGGGCGAGTGGGGGCTAGCGACCCCACTCAAAATAGCCGACCATAAGCTTGAGTTAGCTTATAAAATTTGAATTTTTACATCTAAATTTGAGCTTGAATTAGCTTATAAAATTTGAGTGTTTAAATCTAAATAGATATATGTAGTTTGGATTAAAGATGTATTTGTGTAAAGTTCATAAACAAATGGATGAAATTTAGTAAGAAAAAATGTGTCAAAAACCCTAAACAAATTCCATGAGTCTCTATGTATATATGTGTAGTTGTCACATCACATTGATTCACATCAATGTGAAATCTCTTAGATTTATTGAATCGGTATTACAAGTTTCCACATATATAAATTAATGTCCCTGCAACATGGAGTACGTTACTCCATGGTTAATGTGAAGACTGAAAACTAGAGCTTGTCGACATGGTGGGTGTGAGAATTGAAGAGGAGGTGAATTGGTTTCCAAGAATATGCTAATGTATATCATCTTGGAGAAGTCATGTAGCCTCTAACGATGTCGTGAGGCTTGATCTGGCCTCGAGTCATAAGGCCTTGAGTAATGGTGATAAGGCCTTGAGTAATGGTGGCATAAGATAAAGTAGTTATTTTACGTTAATTTTGTAAAATTTTTGTTTGATTGTATGACTTGATTGTAAGTATAAAATTATTCTAAATGATAGTATTTTATCTTAGACTGAATTATTTAGTAGGCCATTAATCTTGTTATGAAATTAATTTAGTGGAAGAATTTTAAAAACATTCTACATGTCATGATATCCCTGACTCCGTTTGTTTTAATATTTTTACACTATCCTATTCCTATAATTATGAAAATATACATTTGTTTCTCTATTCTGAAAATTCTATTCTATTTTATTCAACTACTTGTAAACCTCTAGATTTGTTAATTTAACTAAACTCAAAAAAAAAAAAAAAAAAAAATTTAGAAATTTACAAAAGCACCTCCACCCACCCACATTTGTTAGATTCTGGCCACCACCACCGAAAGATGGCTGGAATCTAGTATAATGACACACTACCAGCTGAATCTGGTCTGTTAACATGCATGCAAGCCTCAAAAGAATCAGGCAAGAAACGACATTCTTCTGTGTCGTTTTCACTTATTTTTCATCTCAGCAACTGTTTCACGTAAGCCTTCTTTCATGTGAGCTTCTTCTTCATCAACTCAGGAAGTGCATGTGAGGTTCTTCTTCTTCGTAAACTCAGGAAGGATAAGCTGTAACAGAAAACATGTTTCACGTAAGCCTCCTCTTCGTCAACTCAGGAAGTGTGAGCTGTAACAGAAAAAAAATTCTTGCTGATTCGAAGGTTTCACATAGAAAGTTTTGTGTTTGTTTGTTATTCTAATGAACGATTGAGATTTAAAGTTGACAAGGATTGTAACAAACTTTCCTATAAAGTGTAAAGAGTTGTGTTTTCTGTATAATGAAAAAAAAAAAAGTTTCTCATTTCTAATTCTAGAAAAGTTTCAGCTTACTCTGTTTTTTTGTTTGTTATTTTCTCTCTCTTACTCTGTTCTTGAGCCGGTTAATATGGTTGGTAGCGCGCTGATATAGCCTTTTCCGGCTAGATCCATCGTGAATATGACCGGAAAAGGCCAGATCTTTGGCTGTATGTAGTTGTCAACGATGGCCATATCTTTGGCCGTCGTTGATGACCAAACACGGCCAGATCTAGCCATCAATGTCCAGATCTAGTTGTAGATCTAGCCTTTTCCAGCTAGATCCACGGTGGATCTGACTAGAAAAGGCCATCTCGGCGCATGATCGGTGGATCTAGCTGGAAAAGGCCATCTTGGCGCACGGTCGGCCAGATCCAGCCAGTCATGCGACGATATGATGACTCTGGCCACCCTCTGGTGGTGGTGGCCGGTTGTCGGTATTTAATGGGTGAGTAGGAGTGTTTTTGTAAATTTGAATGTTTTTATTATAGGGGTGTTTAGTAAATTAACAAACCTAGGGGGTGTTTTTGTAATTTTCAAATCCTACCTCGTTATTACCACCCAACTCTTACTTTTTCAAAAATACTAAAACAAACGCACCCGCTATTATTGTTGTGAATTTAATTTAAAGAATCTCGTTGTTCTGAATAGAATTAATTGCGCAATTAACTCTTGATAAATGCTGTCTGTCACAATGTTTTTTCCATTTACAGTAGAACCTCCATATAGGAATAATATAATGCCCCACTTGAGGTACGTAGTTTAATTGTGTTGTATTACTTGAGTGCTTATTGTTTTGTCCTCATTTGAGTTGGTTTGTTGTTGTTACAGTTTGGTTAGTCCTTGGTTGAAT